AAAGAACCAAATCAAACTTATGTAAATTGAAAATCTGACTATATTCATCCGCTTATTCTTTAAACACTTACTTGATGTTCAAGTCCACTATACTCTCCCTCTGTATTTTCACGAATAGTGATAAGATCGACATTGTCATATCGAGTTTTGTAGCCAGGGAGGCTGTAACAAGGCCTGACATTTGCATACAAATTAAGTTCCTTCCTTAGAGTAAGGTTCAATGAACGATGACCCTTCCCAATTGGTGTGGCCATTGGACCTTTCAAGCCTACCCCATTTTTCCGCACTGACTCTAAACTTTCCCATGTTAGGAAACTCTGTGTTCTAGGATCGATTTCAGTCCCAACGTAATGTTCTTCCCATTCAATTGGCACGTCAGCTTCTCTGAACACCTGCACCAGTGCAAATTGCGAACTGTATCAACACTTCAAACCAAAACAGAGTAAAATACAATCAACGGCCCTTGCACACTGAATAGTTATTCTCCGAGGACACTGTACTAAGCACACACATTGCCTTTTCGCACTTGAACTATCTATTTTTGGGAAATGTAATCACATTTTTACGATGTGTAGCTAGCTCCTGAATTCGCATTTGCGAAAATGAATAAACACATCAACAAACAAAAACAATTCGGCTGGAAACTTTCACAACAGATCATATCATCCAAATACAAAACCGTTTTGAATAAACGACAAATATACATAATCGATCAACCAAAATAATAATGTTATGTTAATTCCATTCTAATATTCCATGAAAGATATACTTTCCAATAGATTTCTAAACCCTAAATTTAAAGTTGATTTGACTTGTGAGCGTGTGTATTGTGTAACACAAAATTATACATACAATCTTGACGGAAAAGAAACGGAGTTTAAACGGAAATTTGATAAGAAGGAGGCGATGGATCTGATAAGGACCTGTTTGACGGACTCGGCGATCTCGGGACCGATACCGTCGCCGGGGAAGAGGGTGGCTCGGATCGGAGTGGAAGCGGAGGAGAAAACCCTAGCTGCCTGAGATAACGGGGATGATGACGACAGCAAGCTATGGCCAGGGTTCACGGCGCCGGAGAGGAAGTGGCTGGAGGCGCGCCTCAATAGGTGGGAAGCCATTGTCGCTGATTGTGTGTAATTTGGCGATCGGAAAAGAATAAGTCCCGACTTTTGGTCGTCTTCTTATAAGTTATAACCAAATGACCAGTCTGAGTGGAGGAATATGTCTGTTTTTTTTTTTTTTTTTGATATAGATATACAAGTAGATATTTTTTTAATGTGTCGGAACCCTTCTTGGCATTTTAAGTGCCTACAATTAGTTTAAAAAAAAAATTACAATCAATTGTAATATGGCGTTTGATGTACTGGTAGTGTTCTCCACACACCAAATTTTTTTTTCATATATAACAATATATTTAGGGGAAATTTAAAAAAATAACCAAAATTAGAACTCTATATAGAATTATAGTCATCCTTTTAAATTTATGATAATTATAGCCAAAATTTAATATAAAAGTACTAATACACCCTTATGATTAAAACTTTTTAGAAAACAAATCCAAAGAAATTCAAAGCCTCACTTCAGCAATCTAGACAATTCTAGCCCTCTCAAAAAGCTCAAAAGCTCAGCCAATTTCTGATGAGAAGTTTTATTAAGCTCTTGGTTATTTTTCCATCTAATATTAACAGTTACTTTTGTAAAGTTTTCAAAAATCCTAGTCTTTGTCATCTTCTTCCCATCCCAGCAAAACCCAAAGGTTGGAGCCTCATGCAACGTTACAATTTGTTTTTCGAAGACAATCATATCATTTATTCAAGGTAACCACTAAGCAGTAAGCTCTCCCCCTTTCTTTCCCTCTTGCATTTCTCTTTGTTGAAGATCAAATTGGATTTAAGTACATGTTAAAATTAAATTGGGCTCTAATCTGTAACAAGATTTATAGAAAAAGGATTGTGCTTTTTGTAGATCAACTGTTTGCAGAGTTGATTTCCAGAAGAAAAGGTGTTGGAATCAGATAACACCAAAACGGGTTTTGTGGTTACCGCTCTAATCTTTGCAATGGGGGGGGGGGGGCATAATTGCTTCCCTCATTGTTAAAATGGTATATTAGTATTTTTATATCAACTTTTGGTTCTAATTATAATAAATTAAAAGGATGGCTATAATTGATTGCAATCTCGTTAAATATTAGATTCGAACATAAGACTTAACACTTTAAGTGAATAAGAATATCACTATACTATAACACTGAATGATGCTTTTGTTATTATTTTTTGTTTTATCCTTTCATTCAATCAGAATATAAAAAAATTACACGTTGATATGGTAGAAACTAACACACAAATTAAACTCTATAAATTATGCAATTGTAGTATGAGTAAGTAGGGATCGTTCTATTCCGAGGATTAGAAGGGATGCTAATCAATACAAATTAAACTTATAAAACTGAAAACTAAGTTAAATTAACATCAAAACAATGACTGGGGGATTTTGGACGAATTTAATTAAAACAAAAGTAATGGCAGCAAGTAAATTAAGTTATGAATGAAATATGGATGAAATGATAGCTAAAAGATTCTTCTCCACACATGAAACATATGCATACAAATCGATTTCCAGTTATTCTTCCTACAAACCATGAATGACAATGCCCCAAATTAATTGTAAACCAAATTATTATTCTCAAGTTCCCTAACTATGAAAAACATGATAAAGATACATCTCAAAGATCATTAAGTTCTGTGAAAATATAAGCATTCACAAAGCATTCGTAACTATGAAAAGTATGATACTCCTACCATGGATTTACTTAACTCAATCATAACTAGTGACTTTTACTACTTACAAATATAAGTTCATAACGATTAGGTGAAATTCCCTTATATTTTAGCATCAAATCCTGCATGCAAACTAAGTATGCATCCTTAATAAACATACAAGAATAAGTTTTCTATAAAGCCGATAAGTAAATCACATTCATGTTTTATGAAACAATAACTGGATGTAATCAATTTATATAAAACATATGATCATGGCTTCGAATTCACCTCTAGCTAAAAAGAAACTTAGTTACATATGTTCATCATAGCTGAAAACAATCTAAAATAAACATTGAAACTTAAAACAAAGATAGAAAGAACTCTGAAAACTCCAGCAACTTCAATGGATGAATGGCAGGCACGGCGCACCCTAAATCGCTACAGGAATTTCATATATATATGGGATAACGACTGAATCCAAGGAGGAAAGGGATTAGGCATTTTGAATTATTTTAGAACTCTAAGAATCAGGTAGAAAGTGTTGGAATGTGATTAGGATTCCTCATTGATGTTGGAGATAAGATAAAATAATGTTGGATAAAATAGGATAATATAATGTTCCTCTCCAACTAGGATTGATTCCTCTTTCTTGTGTAATTCCTTGCCTTCCAAGCCTCAACTTTAATTTCTACAGATTTTAGCACATGTTTAACACCATTTAAACACCAAAAATGTCCAACCCATATGCTATCCACGCCTGCTATCCAATCCAAGTCCAAAACTATTCCAAATTGCTCCATTTTGCCGTTTATTGTCATCTTTATCAACTGGACCTACAATAATACGAAAATAACTTAAATTACTACAATAAATAGAAATTAACTAAGTAAATGCAAAGAACTAAGATAAAAAAAGTCGCATAAATATGCTCCCATCACACGTGTTCTAAACCTATTTTACTGACAAGGGAGAATCTACGGCACAAAAGAGAGTTGGTGAATTCTGTTATGTGATTTTCACCACTTTGTGCCTTTATTTATGGTGATAGGGGGGAGAGAAACTAGCTCTCTAAGTAATACAAGTTGTACAAGGAGAGATATACAAGATCTCATATGAATCCTATACATAATCTATTAAGATTTATACAATCTCACTCCTAAATAAATATAAATATTCAAGTATATGATGTATCAGGTCTTAATGATGATTAGAAGTAGTTGATGAAATCGTCGTCACAATAAATAAACGAATGTCTCAAATAGGAAACTAATTTGAAAAGTACGTCTCACAAACTAACTGTGGTAAAACTCAAAGTGAGACAAAACACATTTGGTTGCATGAATTTACTGTAATAATTGTTTATGATCGTGATGCCCTATTTACTTCTAAATTTAAGAGTTTTTTTTTTTTTTCAACAAGTTAAGGGTATTCTACTACTTTAAGTGTTTTTCATCTTCAAATAAACGGACAACCAGAGATAACTATCCAAACATTTGAGGACATGTTGAGAGCCAATGTAATGCAATTTCAAGACAATTATCAGCATTTGATGGAATTTGCTTACAACAGTTTCCATGCAACCCTTAATTATGGTACCTTTTTGATGCTCTGTATAGGAAATCTTTGAAATTCATATGACTGCTAGCTTTTGGGAAAGAACGGATATGGTGAGGGCTTTCAATTTTTGACAATAACATCCAAAAGTTTGAAATCCCATAGTTCTTGGTAGACGTTCTTTATGTATACAAGGACGAGAAGAGAGAAAGAGAGAAGAAGAGAAGGGAAAGGAAGAAAAGGTTTGGCCAGCGATGAGGAGAATGCCAACACGTGCAACGATGAGTTTGGTTGTTGCTGACTAAATGTTGAAAATAGGAATATTTTTGGGATAGTAGTTAGACTTTTTTACATTTTATGGGGTGGTAATATAAGGTAGGTGAAAAAATAAGAGAAAAATCGGAGAGGGAGGGAATATCGATGATCCGAATCGTCTATTTTTTTGAGTTGCATCTTATTAATCATTCTTGCAAAATATTAGTCCAATTAGAAATATTTGAGATTAATTGGGTTAAAAGAAATTAACGAATACATTGTTGTATAATTTTATTATGATAATTAAATAGACAATTATAGTTTCAGATTTAATTACATTTGTATAAAATTAATCTATAAAACAAAATAAATAATTTAAATTATTAAGGTTCAATAATTCCCATTTTTTTTCAAAAAAATGGGAATCCTCTGCAAAAAGGGCCTGTGTATTTTGATCTGAGAAAAGAAAGGGATCAAAACCGTATACTGCGCTAGTACTATATATACGAAAAGAACAGAAACGAAGCTCTCTCCGTCTCGGTCTCATATCCGATCCGACGACGAACCGAGCAACCAGGTACTCGGTTTGCTTGAATATATTTGTTGTAATTAATTAATTTAATTTAGTTAGTTAGGGTTTGGCTGCTCTCTCAGTTTGCTTCTATTTTTGTAGTTTAATTTTAATTTAGGGTTTGGTTCCACCAGCTAACATGGATGATGAACCGATTTTTTTGGGGTTTCTGAAACAGGGTCAGTTTTGGTGTTTGAATTAATGTTCTAAGTTTCAGTTTTGGGTTTGAATTAATTCTCTAAATTTCAGTTTTGGGTTTGAATTCATTCTCTAAATTTCAGTTTTGGGGTTTGAATTAAGGTTCTAATTATTATTATGAGATCCATGAAGCAATTTCAGTTCTTAGGGTTTGATTGGCAAAGAATTGTATGATTAATACTGTGATTGGTATATCAGTGCATTGCAGAGGTAATCGATGGAGGCTGCTGGTGATATCAGTGCTCGCAAGGGAGTTACGGTTGGTGCTGTGTCCGCCCTTGTTTCCCAATATAACAAACTATCAGTGTGTAACACCTCGGAGCATCTCATAAGTACTAGAAACTCTACGGGCAAGGAGGTGGACGAGGAAGCACATCAACCGAGCTATAAGGCTAAGAAGAAGAACAGATATCTGGCTGCCAAAAAGCCGGCCTATCGTTCACCAAACAAGAAAAAGGCGGCCTATCAATTTCCCGTTATGCCACTATGGCCATGGCCAGTTGCTGACGACATGCCTGTTGATGAAACCCCCTTTCCCGAATGTCTCTACCTTTGGACTGATGGTGATGGTCGCAAGGTTGCATTATCTGATGAGCCTTTTGACTTGGAAGATTTTTATGCTGGTCTAGAGAAGGCCGATGCCAGGATGAAGGAGTACCTGATCTGGAGGGAGGAGGAGAGGGAGAAGGAGAAGGAGAAGGAGGAGGCTAAGTGCAGAAAGACGCGAGGAACGAGGCTAGGAAAAAGGCGGCCTATCATTCGCGGTCTGGCGAAGTGACCCTACCCTTGAAGACGTAGGAGGAGATTGTGTAACTTTTATGGATCGACACAAGGCCTTGTCAAGGAGTTAGTCACTTCTAGCTAAGATATGTAATCATCAGGTGTTTTTACTCGTGCGTTTTGTATTTCCTGAACGATTTGTAATGTTGACTTTAAGTGTAGCATCTGATGCCTCTAATATTTACTTATGTTTGGCTTTTGGCAAGCAGACTTAGCCCTAGTTTGGGAGTGAGGTGCTTAAAAAAAAAGCACCCATGAAAAAAAGCTGTGAGGGTTTTAGGTGTTTGGTAAACTGAAAAAAAAGGGCTTATTTTGGAAGCTGCTGTGAGAATAAGCTGAAATCAAAGGAAAAAGCTGAAGCTGCTATTTGCAGCTTTGGAAAACTGGCTTTTTTTCAAAGCACATCGAGCTACAATGCTCCTTTAATGAAAAGACCCACTATCAGACTGCCTTTTTTTCCAAAAGCACTTTTACAAAAAAGTTTACCAAACACTCTGCTGCTTTATTTCACAGCCGCTTATTCTCACAGCACAGCCGCTTATTCTCGCAGCAGCTTTTTTTCAAAGCACAGCAATACCAAACCAGCCCTTATTGTTTTGCGTTTTGAGTTTTGAGTGCATAGCCAATTTCAGTAGAAATGAATCGTGATTTCTTGGATTTAATCGATTGCACTACTAATGCAGTAGCCAGTTATCTGTCAATTAAAATCGTTTGACATGTGCACGACACTCTTTAGAGAGTAATACAGTTACTCGTCCATAAGCTCTTACTACGCAAGTTACGTGACTTAAATTGTTGAAAAATTAAACATAATAGCTTCCAATCGAATAGCACGATTGTAATCGGAAAGTTTTTTAATCACTTTCTCTTCAAAACCTCTTGGAATGCTACATTAAAGGTAACAAGTATTTCATTAATAAAATAAAACAAGGAATATCATCCATAACAAATACATTTTCATGATTACAAACCCAACAAAAACACAATACACTTGCTATCTACATATATAACCACCACATCTAACCAAACAGAAAGATAACACTCACAAGGAGATTCCATTCGGATGACCATATGAGTACTTGAAGGCTTCCTCTATCCTCATTAACAGCCACACAACACTTTCTTGGTATAGTTCGACTGGTGGCCTAGAATATTGTCAAAACAATGTTCGATCTCGAGGCCGAGATAATATCGAGTTTTCCCAAAGTTTTTTAATCTCAATTTTTGACTTGAGGTGCGCGACAGTTTTTTTCTGGCTCTTGAGGAGTCCTGTTGAGAATTATGTTATCGACATAAACTTTAACTATTGTAAATTCGAAAAGTGACTTGTTGATAAACATGCAGAGACATATTTTGTTATACGCAAAAACCCTCGCTCTACGCAAAACACTTCTCACACACCCGAGAAGAATACTAACTATCCTAACCCTCCCTCAGTTTGGATAAGTAAATATCATTGTGTTGAGAACCGGGCGATATCTTTAGTTTGGATAAGTAAACAACACTGAAGTCATAGAATCTAGCAACATAAAAGCACCTTCGATTTTGACAAGTAAACAACAATGCTTCTGGGTGGTTGATTATATACCAAAGTCTCTGGAGGTGAAGAGCTCTCAACTTTTTCGCCCAAAAATGTAACTTCAATAACTTCCAAGTGAAATGAGGTGTTCTATAATTAGTTACTCTCAGATGCATTTCATAATTCGACGTTCAGACGACAGACCAACGTTCACTACTATAAAGACACATACCATTTTACCGTAAAAAAGAATAGAGAAAAACTAATTTAGGAACCAAATGGATTACTCAAATACAATTGGAAATCCGAAGAGGCCTTGGAAAAGATTCCTTAAAAGGTAAAAACAAGAAACTAATAATGTTGAGTTTTGCGTGCGGAATACGAAAAATGTAATAATCCATACCATTAATGGTTTCCCACTTCCCAGTCCAGTCCCAGTCCCATCCACTGTACCGTCTTCTCCGTCATAAACGACGCCGTGGGTTGAGGGTCACACTTTAAACCCGACCCGCCGCCTCTTATCACCACCGCCAGAGCCACCGCAAGAAAATGAGCAAGAGGGTGTCCGGTCCCAAGCTGAGGCGTATGTATTGGGGTTTGGGTCGACTTCGGTCGATTTTCATGGCGACGGCGACAATTGACATTGCTAATTTGCAAGTGTTTGTAGAGGTATTTATTTATTGCTCCTCCTCGATTCTCATGCTAAATTGCTATTTGCTAAATTTTAGTTTAAAGTATGAAACTTTTTCATGTTTTCCTTCCTGTAATCTCTCTCTCAGCAACAATTAATTTAATATTATCAATAAAAGTTGTTTTGGTGTAGGGAATTGATGAGAGAGAGAGAGAGAGGGAGGGAGGGAGAGAGAGAGAGGGAGAGGGGTTGAAAGCTTGAAGCTTTTTAAAAAGCAGATGGGGCACCTTTCGCGAGTCATAATGTACATAAACGTCAACCACTACCTATTTTCCTTGAGCTCGTCTGAGGCCCGTTTATCTCTAGGGTTACAATTCATTGATTTCCTTGGCGGGAAAAGCTCTCTGTGGTGAGGGTCCTATTAGCAGTGCACCTTCACAATCTTACCCTTTGTTGCATTGCATTGCATATATGTTCGTACTTTCTTTGTCCATTTATGTTTTGTCATAAAGAAATCTGACTTCCACAGTGAAAGTGGAAATTATTTTTATGAAATGTTTTTAAACTTGCAGAAGAAAAAGTCTTCTTCATTTCTTTGTATTTTGTGAATTAAATTTCATCAATAAATACTATAATTGTCTTACCTCCCCGCACAGGATATCTGCAAACAGTTCAACTTGAGCTGAGAAAGTCCTTAGCTTGGAGGCATTGCCAGATCCTATATTACATGTTTGAGAACGGTTGATCGTTTTTTAAGCAAACCATGAGGCAGTAAAAGTAATTCAGCTTCGAATCTCTCTTGGGTACCACCAATGACATCGAGTGAAGAACAGGCCGCCCTGGTGAATTTTTTCCTAGTGCTACCTTGCTCTGTTTATCTGCTTTTCCACGTAATTGTGTCCAAGAAGATGCTGCTTTAGTTGCTGTAGGGTATTGAATGCTTTAAATTTACTAAAGAATTACGAAAAAGGGTTGGTGAAGGTATGGAATCTCAATCTCATAATACGCATGCGTTAGTAATGATGCCGAGCATCACTTTGATTGTATTAATACGTGATGTTTCCTTACATGGCTGGCAATGGCGATGCCGAATATGCAGGTTGCGGGCGGGTGGACGTTGAGAATAGAATTTTGTTACAGTGGCTGTACTCGACGGACGGAGGCTGCAGCTGGTGGTGGTTGAAGCTGTGTGTGCGTGCGTTGTCAATGATGTATAACAGAAACACAGATTGAATTAGTTGCTTAGGAATCTTGCTATCTGTGACTATACACAAACACAGTACGTGTTGAGCCAAAATCATGCATCCATCTTGCATTAACAACAGACGGCAGAGGCTTGAACGGAACAAAATGTTGCAAATAACCAAAATCAAAGTATATCCAAACTGCCACTACAGCGGTTGTTTTTAACCAAGAAAACATGCCTCCGATCCCATTTCATTATGGAAGGAAAAAAAAATGAAATAAAAATACAGCATTTATAAATTTATGTGGGTTGATTATTATAATCTCAGAATGTTTTACAAGTATAATTGAACATAAAATAATGGAAGATCCCTTTATATCTATATATATCTATATCTATATATATAAAGTGAGAAGGATAAAAAGGTGAAACATTCAAAATACCAAAAATTGTCCTTCAAGAATTCTAAAAATTACAATTGAAGCATAAGCATTTAAAGCAATTCACCACATTTTAATTTTGAATGAATTTAAAATTTAAATTTTCACGGGAAAAAAAAAACTACCATGTTAGTGGGTGGATTCATGGTTTTGCCTCAATTTTTTTTTTGAATAATTTTTGAATAAAAATATAAAATAGTTACTTAAAAAAAATAAAAGACATAATATAATATAAAAGGGTCAATTGCCACACGCGTATGCGTGGCAAGAGGCTAGTATATAAATAAAGTGAGAATCCCAAATAGGTGAAGCTTTTAATATTCCAATTATGTCCTCACTTTGATAAAGAAAATAATTAACAACTACCCAACAAAATAGGGACAAAATAGTAATATTGTACAATTTAGAAATCAAACGTGGAAGAGACAAATTCCACCACGTTTGCAAATCAGTTTTTTCTCAAATTGTTAGATTTCCTTGCCGAGGAGGATAGGCGGAGGCCATTCCATCAGTTTATATCTCAAACTGCTGATATCCCAACATAGGCCATTGGTAAAGGTTACGGTACTGAAGAAGCAGAAAAAAGACGTGTGTATGTATAGCGCAATAAGTCATATGGTTTCAATCTTTGTCCAAAGTGTGCAATTTGGGATGATGGATGATGAATTCCAGATGGTTGCACTTATTATTTAAAGTTACTTCTTGCTTCCTCTTTAGTTTTCTTATCATTTTGATATATACGTTCTCTACAATTGTTGTTTGTAGTTTGACTGTTTATTTCTACTCTTCAATGTTGTACATATGTATTTTGTCAATAGTGATTGATGCATTCATTACTGTTTTCCACAAAGAGTTTGCACTCTCTCTTCCAAACGTTAGTGACATTGGTAATTAATTTTAGCAACAAAAATACATTGAAGCCATCGCCATGGATCTGGGGATTGGTGGTACGTGATCGGAGATTGAAAACCCTAGAAACTGGGATGTTGACGTGTAGGGTTGAGTTGAGGAAAAGTAACCGAAACCTGAATGGGCAAACGAAAACATTTGGTACTTCAAGTGTAGGTTGGTTTTCTTCTCTCTCATCTTTTTTTTCTTTCTGTTCTTCTTCCTTTTCCAGCAAATTTTCTTATATCTATAGGCCACGATTGCTTATAAAGTATTACAATCATAGGGTTTTGCACAAAAAGAGAGGAGAGGCTGACACTTGATGGGTTTCTCTTATTAAGTTTTCATTCGTTTATCCTTTTTTTTTGTTTATTAATTTTATTGACGCAAGTTTTTTCATTAGGGATAGAAATTTGGGTAATAATATGCTACTGTGATGTATCTTGCAAGGCTAAAGACGCTTCTATGCATGTTTGAAGGAATAATATGAGTTTGTCAAACACTACTATGGTTATACAGGTTCGATTTTTCCCAATTTGTTGTCTTTTAT